AGATGGTAATCACTTGGTGCCAGGTCCGGACTATAAAGTGGGTGCATTAGGACCTCCCATCCGAGCTCCCGGAGCTTCTGGCGCGTCACCAAAGACGTGTGTGACCTAGCGTTGTCCTGATGGAACACAATTCGGGTTCTGTTGATCAAAGATGGCCTCTTCTGGATGAGTGCTGCCTTCATTGAATTGAGCATTTGGCCATAGTGGAGCAGCTCGTTGTAGATGATTCCTTGCCAATCCCACCAAACACACAGCAAAACCTTCCTGGCCGTCAATCCGGTCTTGGCCACCGTCTGGGCCGCTTCCCCGAGCTTTGACTACGACCGTTTGCGCTCGATGTTGTCGTAAGTGACCAATTTTTTATCGCCAGTCACAATCCGCTTCAGAAACGGGTCGATTTTGTTGCGATTCAGCAGCGATTCGCAGATGGAAATTCGGTCCATCATGTTTTTTTGCGTTAGTTCGTGTGGCAGCCAAACATCGAGCTTCCTTTTGAATCCAAGGTTATGCAAATGGTTCCAAACGGTTTTCTAGTTTATCTTTAGTTCCTCAGCAATTAAATAAGTGCTCACGTGACGGTCTGTTTCCACTATTTTCATGATTTTATCGCAATTTTCGACGACAGGCCTCCCGACGCGTGGTGCATCTTTGACATCGAAATTACCGGAACGAACCTAGCAAACGACTTTTGTGCTACACGTTCATTTACAGTATCGAGCCCATAAACTAAATTAATTTTTTCAGTCGCTTTGGCTGCTTTTTCGCCTTGATCGAAGAAAAATTGTAAAATATAGCGAATTTTCTCTCTGCTGGTGTCCATCTTTGACGAGCGCTCACAACGTACTGAGTCAATCAATCGAAAAACCGCCAAAAACAAACTTTTAGCTCGAATAAACACGTTTTCAGCGTCGTATAGTATGACATGATGCGACACGTAACACTAGTACTATGGATAATAACGCCATCTCTTAGATAAGACCGAACGAACTTTTTACTTTACCTAATATATAGTATTAAGAACCCAGCGTAATCGAAAATTTCGCCTTACTTCAAAGAATATAACATATATCAATTTATAATTAGTTAAATTCAATTTCAATAAATTTAATGTATATTGGTGGTACCCTAAGTGAATGGATCATAAAGCAGAAATTCAATAATTATTAAAATAAATATTTTACGCAATTTAGTTTACGCATTTTCCAAAACTGAAGAAACCAATTAAAGGAAAGCGTTTTGCCGCAATTGATGAGATTAAGCCAGAATCGAAGAAGAGAAGTGATTCAGAAGTGCTGATTGGAAAATGCGTTGACCCAAGTGTATTATATCCGGGGGGATACCTTTGAAGGGAACAAAATAGATATTGATGAATATGTAACTACTTTTCAAAAAAATTCAAAATACATGTTTTTTCTTTGAACACACCTCTTATACTCGTACATCTATTTTTTTCCAATGCAGTAAATTTTGATTTTGGACTTTGCGCTAGCACACAGGTATGGTGTTTTTTTTTTTGTTGTTGCATAGGTTTAGTTCGTTGGGCTGTATGGAGTTATGGTGTGTTGGTATTCTGCGGGTCCAATGGACCACCGTAAACGTCGTGAATTTGCTGATTTTGCCTTGGAACAACTTGAAAACGATAACGATTTTTTTAAGAAAATCATAATCTCCGATATGAGTGGTGCGGTAAATAAGCAGACCTGTCGATTCTGTTGCGAAGAAAATTCAGAAATTCTTCGTGAACAACCATTACATCATCTTAGTTGACAGTTTGGTGTGGTTTTTAATTTCAAGAAATTGTGACATTGAATGGCTTCCAATATGTCGTGATTTAACACTATAAGACTACTTATTGTGGGGTTATTTGAAGTCTTTGATCTTTTGCAATAAACCAGACTCCTTTAAAGTGCTAGAAGTCAATATTGCACGTGTTATTCATGACTTACGACTTGATTTATTGGACTCGAAAATTAGATTCACCAAATTCGTTCTTGCAAAAAAGGCCGTAGAGGCCATTTGAATGACATTATATTCAGAACTTATTTGCATCGATTGTACTTCACATTAAATAAAAAACATTTGAATTTCCTTAACAATTAGTGTTTTTTTTTTGTTATGTTTTAAATCATATCACTCTTTATGGAAAACCCTACATATAAAGGTTAACCAAAGAAAAGATTGTAAGAAGGAAAATTTAGTTTGTAATGTATACATGAGATGATATATGCTAATATTTAAAAGCTAATCTAAAATAATTACTAGAAATTTATAAAAATAGAAAGAAATAATAGAACCATAATGTACATATAATAGAGTTGAAATCCGCCTGTGCTCCACATTACGCTACAAGACTGTTATTTCGTATAACGAATTGCATTAGGGAGAGGCATTTGCAGTTTTAAAAAAAAGTTTTAAGTGGGCGTGGTTCCGGCCGCTAATATATCTCCTAAACCATTCGAGTTATATGACTTAAACTTGCACTGAATAAATATTTTTGACTCTTCCTTCGACAGTATGAAAATGGCTGAAATCGCATGGTAAACCCGCCCATTCCTTATTTAACGGTTATGTTAAAAACAACTAAAAGTGTGATAAATCAATAACTAAATGAGTCAGAGACATTGAATTTTTCGTCTGGAAACGTACAAGAGGGTTTTATAGGAGCCGATGTAAAACTTGACTAAATGCGGCGAAACCTGACTACAACCACGCTTACTTCTCATAGCACAATTCTAAATTCCATATGCGTCTTACACTTATCATCATAACTTTCAAGAACCCAGAGGCCAAAAATGTGAATCCCAGTGCATGTGACAGACTTTTTGCGGAAAATATCGGTCAATCTGCAAGATATATTATAGAACTTCAGGAAAAATGTTTCTTTGATAATAATATACCTTTGTGACAAAAATGGGTTCAATCGGATCCAATACTTTCTTTAAACCACATATACCTAATATAAAGATTTTCGATTTTTCATTTGACTTTATACCACATATATCGGCCATTGTGCTAGTTATTTTAATGAAATTGAGAAAGCATGTTTTTCTAGTAACGGTGTATATATGTGGCTAAAATGGATACAATCGGGCGAAGACTTGCCTTAGCCCCCATATTACTGTTATTCAGGATTTGGAAATGTCCGGTTGACCTTACTCCATATATTTATAAATTTATAAAATAGCTTGAAAATAAGGTCTCAAGTATACCGAGTAATGTCTAAAATTAATCAAATCAGCCATTCCATTTCTCTGTCCCCAATGATTTTAGTATAATTTTCGCTGACTTGAAGTAAAATATAGTGATAAAACTAAAGGAATTTATGAATAAGTTAATAATAGATACAACATTTTATTGTATGTAATCCATTCACGATTTCGGCGAACAATGAAGTTGAACCCTCTCGTGGTAATATTGTCAACACCTGGAGGTATTTAGAAGGCTTTGAGCCTTGCACGTTGCGAGAGTATAAATTGCTCGGTTACACCCGAACTTAGCAATTCCTTACTTGTTAATTTTTAATATCAAAGGTCACTTTCTCAGCATTTGACATTGTGTCTAATTTGACGGGCACACACCACATTTCGGAGTGTACGCGAGTAATTGGATTCGTCCAATTTTTCTATTTGAAAGATGGCAGTCATTTTGCTTTATAGTTTTTCACAATCCAATTGTTTTTTAGTTCCATATTTAAAATTCCAACAAACAAAATATTGCTATTCGCGATACACAGCAACGCTTTTCCTATTCACAAAAGACTACTATCGATAGTTTTTTCGTTTGAAATCTACTAACATATCGCTGGTTTAAATTAACAGACCATGGCTTTGTATACTTATTTTTTATGAAATAATATTTGGATTTTTTATAAAATACAACATGAACAATAACGAAAAACACAAAAAAAATTATTAAGGTTACATTTGTATACAATCTTTTATTTTACTATATAAACTGCGCTAAGAGCTGACGAGTTGTGAAAAAGCACATATTTTATATCTACATTTACTAATGTAATATGAGATCGAGAAGTTAATACTTAAAGAACGTTTCAGTAAAGTATTTTATTTCTCGACAATCTATCTGTTTTTGTTTACAAAATAGCAATTTGTTGACGTTTTTAGCCTTTAGTGCTGTTCGGATATCTGATGTTAGCAATTCACTCTGGCGAAACATTGCCCCCGAGAGTATGTATGAGTATGTACATGACAGACTCTACGTGTCTCTGCTACCAGGCTTTGCACTCAATTGCTTTTCCCAGGAATTATCGAAACTATAGAGGCCACAGAATTTCATCTGGATAGTCGCCAAAGAAATTAATGTGAAATAGCGTACATATATTACGAAATTCGATCACAACTGAATGTTTACATAATATGCTTCCATTTCATAATTTAACTCTCCAAAATTAGGACAACTCAATAAAATGGAGGTTTCTTTACAATTTTTATTTTTGCACGGTTCTTAAGTCTTATTAAAATGCTGGAAAACAGTTGCGTTTAAAATTCTGAATTGCGGCTGCATCTATAAGTAACTGACGTTATTTGCAGCCGGTTAGTAGTTAAATTTAATAATTTGTATATTATTTCAAAAATTTTCGGTACTTACAAATTTGAAACTACATGCCCGCAACTAAGCCAAGAATGAAAAAAGGATTTTGAGGCTACCATCCCTGGAAGCAACCTATCTGTTAAATCACTAGTTAATTACTCAACAGCGTTATCAAAGATTTCTGTTAAAGCTTCTATGAGTTTCTTAAGACATTATTGACAATTCTAACCGAAACTCTTGTGTACGTGTGATCGTTAATGCTTTTCTTACGCATTGGGCTTATGATTGTATGTGCTAGTTTCCGCGCTAATTTCTTCAAAGTATTGTATTTCCGTTGCCGTGACTTGTTGTGATGTTATCCAAAATTAGACTTCAAATTTGGTATTACTAGACTATCATTATGTAGCTTTATAGGGTTATATACAGTTAGAAGGCCGAAAAAAGTGAACTTTCCAGAAGATTTTCGGAGAAAACTTTTAAATATATTGATTCAAAAATTTATACACATATTATGGTGTCTTTAACCTATAATTTAAAACTTAGTACTAGTTAAAATATTTATTTAAAACAGAGCTACTGCTGATCTCCGGGAGCTCCTCTCAAAAAAGACGTTTTGCGGTGACCACTTTATCTCTGAACTGGATCTGAAATTAAATAACCAAGCAGATTTCGTTAAAGTGATGTTAAATCGAGTAACTAATCGAGCGAAATAAAGTTTTTTGACAAAAGGGCGGTTTCTTAAAAAAAAAATCAATTTTTCACCGAAATTTCGGACTTAAAATGTTTATAAAAACAAAAATATTTATCGTAGAAAAACAATCTTCGATTAATTACTAAAAGAAGACTAACTAAGAAGCTCGTGTTAAAATTTGAATCTAATCGGTTTAGCCGTTTTCGAGAATTGTTGGTCACCGACTTTGAAAACACCATTCTGAGCAAAACGCGTTTAAAGTTTGGTCAGGTAGTCGCTGTCGCTCGGCCTTGTACTTCCAAGCACTCTGAAACGCCTTTTCAAATTTGCGTTTAACTTCGAAAATACTCTCCGGAACGATATGAAATATTCTGTGTGTATTCTTTAATATGTGCATTAAGAAAAAACAATTTTAAAAAAATCGATTTTTTGAAAATTCTAACTGTATGTAACAACTTTTAGCTTTATTAAGTGAAATTTTGCAAGTTTATGAAAATAGTTGGTAAATCTAGTTAGGGAATTAAAAATAATCGATTGTTTGTAGCTCTTCTTTGTTCTGTATACTTTCGGCACATCTTTGCAGCATGGTGTCTTTTAAACCCATTCACATATAACTGTAACTGGTAGTCGTCCTACATTCAATAAAAAGTTTTTACTACTTATCTCTCCACGTATTTTCGATGTGGTTTAAAGTGTAAAGAAAATTACCAATTTACCTAAGTCCATTCTTGCAATATTTCGCCATTTTTACTTTGATCACCTTATGTGAGTATTCATAAACTGAAAAATTCTAGTGCAACAATTAAAGGAGATAAACCTGTGTGGGTTGGGTTTTTAGATTGCGATTTAACAAATATCTTCTGAATATCATGTTTAAATGAGTTAAACTGCCTCCTCCAAGTACACCACTCTACTCGGGAAAAACTGGCGCCCCCTAATAATGTCTACCACATACTCACCAATACACCACACCAGATGACACCACACAGGACAACACAACATACTATCTTTACATTCGTTTTCGTCTACGGGCCTGAGCGCCACATCAACATTCGCATATACACCTGATTCGACAAGGTAGCGATCTTACGCGCAACTGTTCGTTGACAACTGTTGGACACCGATACCTCCTGATTTTGATCGCCATCACCCGAAAGTCGTTTCGCGGAATTGGATTCTCAACGCTCCCCTCGTCTACATCATATTATTACATATAATATAAAATTTATTATAATTTTAAATAAACTTGTGGTTCAACCGAGATGGTCAAAATAATAATTATATACTAAGTTTAACGGAAACTTTTATTTTAAAATTTTAATAAAATAAGAATGGTGTGTGCTTCCCAATGAATTTGTTATGCAGATAAATAGTCTATATATTCATATTAGGATTAAACTCCTTCTTAACCTTTTGAAAGCTGATCTATTGTAATTCAATAAATGTGCTGCCAGTTTGGTCGTCTGCCTATTCTTTTAGGCGTCATCATTTAAGTCTAATTTTTAGGCAACTTGGTAGGACGCAAATATTTTTTTATAATTTTTTCTATACCTTACATGTTTGCTTTGCAATTTTTAAGCTTATTATTTTCGACCGCCGGGGTAGGGCTCTGGAGAACACTTATTTATTACTACAATTAGTTAATTTTTTTGTCTTAAATAATTATAATTGAGTTGTTTTAACAGTAGTAATACACTTTAATAATAAATAAAAATGAAAATAGATCAGTTCCGAACTCCTAGTACTATTAATATGAATAAACTTTGGATATGAACCCAAGTATATAGTTGATTTATTGTTATGTTTTATAATATTGTAACGGATTTCTTGATAAATCGTCTACCTTGTATCTTACTCTTGAGTTTGATCACTGGATTGTTAAATAAAATCCCAATTTAAGGGCTATACACTTATCTTTATTTCTAAATCCAACAACTTAACACTTATTGCTAGATATTCGAGCTTACAATTTCTTTCTTATGTCTCAATTGTTCTTATCACGACAACACTCAAACTAGAACTATGTTTGCTGCACAATCCGGCAGCCTTTATATAGTAAAGTTTTTACAAAACGTTGCTTCTACATTCTGGCAACTACGAATTTGTTAACTAGTCGCTTCTGGCAGTTTATCGTAGGCTCGATTTTGTTCTATCATCCATGTTGTCACAATATAATTCTATAAAATGTTATGTACATAACAAATATTTTGGTATGTGTTCTAATGGCACGATTATGATTTCTTTGGCGCCGCGGTCAGATGGTATGGACGGAAACACAGTGACAAAAGCCATTAAATTGGGACTTTTATTTAACAATCTAGTGATCAAACTCGTGTGAGTTACAAGGTAGACGATTTATCGAGATACCCGTTATAATACGTATACAAGAGTTTCGGTTAGTATTGTCAACTGGGCCTTACGAAATTCATAGTCACCTTTTCAGAAATTTTTGGTAGCGCTGTTGGGTAATTAACCGGTGATTTAACCAATAGATGGCTTGTAGTAAAAAAGCTCCCGTTTATTTAGTACTCCTGATTTTGGAGAAAAAAGTTATGAAATTGGAAGATATTATGTGCGAAGTCTGGTGGCAGAGACAGGGAGAGTCTCTACTGTTGACTGAGGTCTGAACCTAGTTGAGCTGATATTAGGAGAGAGATGGAGAAGCATAGATTCACGCATATGAGTGAATTATGGGATAAATAAGGAGTAAAGCCGAATGCTTGAGAGCAATTCCATTCCAGATAGCCAATGACAGAACTCACTTTCATTGTTAGTAAAAAGTGTTAAGTAAAATAGCTTGAGCTTAAATAAGAAGTGTGAGCGAAACTCACAACAAAAAAATAAATAATAAAGAAAAGGGGCATCATACTATGTTCGCACCGACACAAAATTCGTGTTTTCATAGACAAAAGAGGTTTTCACGAGAAAACTTGTGTTTTCATCCATACAAAATCTGTCAAACGAAACCCCTTGAAAACTTACATTCCACTCATTATAATCGGTACCTGCTCTAGTTTATTCGATATTATTAGAAGACATATTTTGCCAGCCCTAAATGTCAGTTGACAATTTGTTTACATTCCATAATTGGCCTAAACGTACCCTACAAGAAACTGCTGATGGGTTCACCAATACACTCACGTTTGATATGTCAGTACTGTTAATTTACATTTGCATTTTTAAATTCAGAACTATCCACTGATTGGAGAAAGACGTACGCAGAGCTATTGAGATGAGGAGATGGCATCAAGTGAAAATTTATTATTATTTTCATATTTTATTATATATTTTGTTGCATTTCTTTTTATATTTAAGTATATTATTGTATTATAACTAATATTGATAGTTTAAAATTTATTAAAAAAATAAAAATTATATTATCTACTGCCCAAAAGAATTTTTCACTTCTGATAGTGTTTCAGTCATAACTGTCAATTTTCTACTATGACGGATTAATGGTCATCAATGACTCAGAAAAAACAAAACAAACAAATAAAAAAAAACAAGGATCTTAAGAAAATCATAGAAACTTTGTTCTGCCCGCTGATAAAATTTTTTCAGCTATGACTGTCATATTACCCATCAGATGACCGTCACTGTTCTTGTAGGTGTACAAATTTAAACAAATAGATGTGTGAACTGTCAATGAAAACTCATCGAAAACACACAATTTCGGTCAGAACGACTTTAGTTCCACAATCCACAAATTGTGTTTTCAAGAGGATTTCAATTCGGTGCGAACATAGTATTAGTCTGAATATAAATGAATATCATGTTAATTAATTTTAGCCAGCGTGGATTGCTAATATTAGATAGGAGGACAACACTTATGACTAAAAACGTCAAGAAATTGCTATTTTGAAATAAAAAGAAGTGGATTATTGAGGAATAAAGTAGTCTACCGAAAAGTATTTTAGGTATAAATTTCTTGATCCCATATTACATTAGTAGATGTAAAAATATATACCTTTTGATAACTCGTCTGCTTACAGAGCAGTTTATATAGTAATGTTATATGTATGTTATAAATAAATCCAAATATTATTTCATAAAAATGATGTGTACAAAGTTAAGGGCTCTAATTTTAAACCAGCAAGAGGTATGTAGATTTCATGTTGAAAAACTATCGATTGTATTTTTTTTAAACTATCGAAACTATGGGTGACCAGACTTTCAATAGTTTTGCAGCTCTAGTTGTATTAATGTAGTGTTAAGGATAACAGGATACGAAATTCCTTGATTCGAGAGAGAGCTGTCAAAACCCATATTTTTATAACATTTGTCAATCATGCGACTGTTGAAAGAAAATGGATTGGGTATTTCAAAAATAAATTTTGGATATTTTACATTTCGATATCATGTTTAGATGCTCGGGCCTATATCACGCAAATATAGCACATCCCTACATACGTGTATTCATATTATAAAATTTTTTTAAATCATATAACATAATAAAATATTATATAAATTAAAAAAAACTATAACAAAAAAGCAATACAAGTCATAATAAAATAGCACGATTTTATGATTAACGTTTTTAATTGAATTAGCAAAAAATTTTTAGTTGCACGTTGTGTCGTTCCTTAAAATTTCGTTTCGCACTGCTTTTCCTAGTTATTTTTAGCGGGTTTATTTCTGGCATCCCGCCTTTTTTGCTATGAGCTGTTCAAAATTCCCTAATCTTCATAATCAGGGAAAGAGAAGGAGAGAAAAATTAGGGAAAATGTGAGAGTCTCGCATCATGTCATCCTTGGTAGTGTATTCGCAGCCAAAGAGATTCAAATGCAATTACATATCTTCGTTCATTTGCTTTGCCCCAATTTTCACAAAAGCCAGTTGTATAATATTCAAATTTAAATTTTCATGGGTTAGTCGAATATATATATGTTTTTCATTATGTAAATATGAGTATACCGTTAATACGTCAATATTTGCCAATGGTATTGTCACTTGAAAACACCCTGCAAGGCTATATGATCGATCACTTGATTGTTAAATAAAAGTCTAATTTAAAGGCTATATACTTATGTTTATTTATAGTCCAAACAATTTAAGGCTTTACTAATTTTTATCCGAGTTTACAACTTTTTACTTATACATATCTTAATTGCTTTTTACGCGTTAACACTAATTTTCTTATATAGTCGATCTTTAACAAAACTTCGCCACTAGAACATTCTTGCAACAACGAAATCGCTGTCTAGTTCATTCTAGCAATTTATCGTCGATTATAATTTGTTCTGGTATTCGTGCTCGCCACACTGCCTTCCACCTAAGTCTGATCGTCGCGTTTAGACAAATTTGCAATATCAAACGCTGCAAGCCGCGTCCAGATGAACTACTTTCATTTTATTCCTTCGTAAGTATGCGATACACTACATCGTTATATAACAATTCCTAATCTCCTTCAATAAAACCCTAAGAGTTCATTGCCTTGTCGTATTTTGCTCTCATTTTATCACTCATAGTTTTGGTGCGCTACCTCACCATACCATGTATATTCCTCATCTCGTCTTCTAGGAGGCTGTTGACTTCCTTGGCATTCCTTCTGTCGTTGGCGTTAATTACAAACTTCCAATCAATCGGTAAGCGAAAATCATTACCAAAAATTACCTTACCTGTCGTTAGCGTTGAATCCAAATTTCAAATCAATCGGTAAGCGAAGATCATTATCAAAAATTACCTTTTCTGGAGTCTGCCTCGTTGTTTCATGTAGATTAGACCGATAAGCCATCAGGAGCAAGGATATATGAGATTTTGATACTTGTCCACAACTTTCCTCTAATATTCTTCCATTGTTCGATTTATTCGTTCTATCACGCCATCGGGCGGTGGATGTGGTGCAGTCGTATTGGTTTTTCGGATACCCAATTTTTGGCACATCTCCTGAATTAGAGTAGATTAAAAATTCCTCCCTTGGTTAGAACGTAATTCTATTGGAACACCATATCTCGTTATCCAATTAGCGTTGAATACATCAGCTACTGTTTCTGCCTCTTGGTTAGGAATTGCTTATGCCTTTGGCCATTTACTGAAATAGTCCATGAGTACCAAAACATATTTGTTTCCTTACTTACTAGTGGGTAATAAACCAGCTACACCCAGGACAATTCGCTCAAATGGCGCACCTGAATTGTAATGCTTTATCTGGCCATGACTCCTAGACCTTGGCCCTTTAACCGATATTATCTCCA